TAGTTCTCTACATCATTTATATAATCTTGGCATATGATTGGTTTATTGTCATGTGATTTTAAAGGGCATGCCCATAGAGCATGCCTCAACTCGAGGGCATGCCCCTATGGGCATGCCCAAATTTTTAGCCATGCCCTAAACCCTACTGGACATGCATTATGTTTGATTTGCGGCATTACTGGTTTTAATATTTCTCGAAAGCACTTTTTCATGTAGGCTGCTGAATCCGTTACAAAAAGCCGCAGTGCATTAAAAGAAATAAACCATTCTACCAAAATCTGAAAAACCAGCTGTCCTATTGATGCATTATTAACTAATTGCACAAAATTAACTGAAACTAATTTTGTTGAACCATGATAACAAAAAAGTGTATTCACAACACTACGTGTTCGGGAATCAGTAGTTTCATCAACTATTATAGCAACTGGTTTATTGGAGAATTCTTCTTTTAACCTCGCTAAATGGTTTTCAAATATAAGAGGTAAATATTGACTACGAAGAGTTGTTACTCCTGGAACTGCACCACCTTTACGACAATATGTTAACAAAAATTCACAAAATTTGTTTAATTTTTGTAGAGGAATATCGGCATTCACCCAAGCTTCTAATAAATCACAGATTAATTTTCTTTTAGACTCCCCTGACTTTAATGCAGCCGGCATAGTTTGTTGCAATTTATTTTTTTGATTTTTTTCAAATGATACACGTCTTTGAATATGCTTTGTTCCAGCAATATAAGAGGTAACTGATGACTTATTCAAAAAGCTCACACTATAATTGCAGAATCGGCACATAAGTATACCATTATCCGCAACAAAATCTTCAGGAAATTCATTTGCACGAGAAAGTGCAGTTACAGTTTTTGAAGGTGGCATCGTTTCATTGCCTTTAGTTAAAATATATCAAATGCTATTACTAAATATAATTCTCGTTATGAATCATGCCTGGAAAGTATAAAAAAGGAAACAACCCAGGTGCAATTCCAAAAGTACAAACTTTTGGAAACACCGAAATTACACAACATTCAAATTGCCAACAAACTTGGCATACTTTATTATAGATTTACGATTTTTGAAAGAGCATCTTTGAAATTAAATTTTAATTTATAGTTTTATGACGTTTAAAAACCTTAAATACCATTGGCTGGCTAACATCATAATTTTGGTGAGTATGACATAATTTTGGATAATTTTGGATAATCGGTAAATTTATAGAATATAAATTTTATAAATTAAGAATTTTTGGATAATTTTGGATAACCCCCAAAATTATGGATTATCCTCAAAATTTATGGAAAATTATGGATCCATAATTTTCGGCGTCCCTGGTGTCCGTAGACTTACTCCTCTGAAAAACCGGTCATGTTAGTACACGTGATAATTAGCCAATCAATTTTTTATATTACAATAATGTCCGAAAAATCTTTATTTACTAAATCAAAGATATCTCACGATCCAGTAGTCAGAATTTGATGAATCTTATACCATTCGATTCGTCTCAATGAGACGAATCGAATGGTATAAGATTCAACAAATCTCACCCACTGAAACATAAGATATTAACGATATTATAATCCCTTATTCGTTTATATATTTTTTAATAAAATTTTATTTTTAAATGCGTGTATATTGCTTCTACTTAATCTATTCAATAAATATATTCGCTAGATCATTTCTAAATCAGTCCTATTTATCTACATTACTATATCGAGAAAGTATCATAGTACATCCATCGGATCTATTATACAAGAAGAATAAAGCCTATTTATCTCTGACGTATTTATTATTTTTTATTATTTTTGAAACATATTCAGAATCTAAATCATCTATATCCTCATCATCCTCATCATCTTCACCAATTAAATTATCTCTGAGTTATTCAACCATTCACGAATAACATAGAAAACTTCTACAGCACTGGGTCTTTTCTGAGGATCCGAGTCTGTACATATACTAACTTTTTATAGTATTTTGGAGTTCTGGGAGCACAATCAGGACGTAAACCATCAATAATCTTTAACGCTAACATACAATCCAGTCGCTCCTTGTTAAATGGTCGTCTTTCAGTCGTCATCTCAGCCATTACTATATATATCAGATGACTGTGAAATTCTTTGACCATTCAAAACTTCTGGTGCTACGTAAGGCATAACTCCATATATTTCCCCATCCGTTTTCTGTTTGTTATTTTTTTTAGATAACCCGAGATCCGATATGTAAAATATTACCGCTATGGATATCATTATGTATATAACCTGCCTCGTGAATATGTGCTAATTCGGCTGAAATATTTTTAAGAAGCTTTAACTTATCTTTCCACCTATCTTTCCACTTGAACCCGTAAAAATGGTTGCTCATATAATTGTGTAAACTTCCGTCCCATACATACTGAAACACCATAATATACTCGTTTTTTTGAAACGCCCATTGGCTAATGTATTTCTTGTTATTCCGTAAATTTTTAATCCACTACCAACAAATCTGCACTCCAAATGATTTTCAATTTCTACCAAGCTATTATTTTCATCTTTAAATGTTTTAAGAGCAACAGTGTATGGTTCACTACGAGCTCTTATAAAATCATCACCAATCTCAATTTTTCTTATTCCTCCTGACCATATAGCATTATACACCGAACTGAAACCCCCTTCAGCTTTAAGCTCAATACCACACAGTGCTGTAAAAGGAATCCATTCAATAACATCTTCATATGCTTCGGCTCGACGTACGAATTTTTTAAGAAGTTCATCTACTCTTTCGTCACCACTTGCGATCTTATTCGCCTCCATATCTGGATCACACGATCGGCACCAAGCACGATAAGTATTATATCTTCTACAATGTGAACATTCACCATATAGTTTATACCTATCGTACCCAGTGTTGTCACTTTACTATGTCCAGTGGCTGTAAACTACTGGACTGGACTATATTGGACTTATTAAATTATTATGTCCAGTAGTCCAGTGGCGCAGTACTGGAATATGTCCAATGTAGTCCAATTGACAACCCTGATCGTACCCATATGTATCCCTATATATATCCCTATTCTCGTCAAAATATAAGAATTCCTCGAGTTCATCATTCAAACGCGAATCTCTTTCCGTCATCAATTCATCTATAATCTCACGATCGCCGGGATCTTTTTCACCACATTCCCAGCCTAAAAGTTCTAAGGCATAATAAGCATCATCACCATCGTCATGTGGGCATTGTAAAAATTCAAGATTAATAATCTTTTTGTGTCGATCACTTAGGTGGTTATTTAAATAATCAGTTTCTGATCTCCTAGTCATGTAATCCGGACATTCTTTTCTCAACTCATCCTTCATTATATTTCCAAATTCTTCACAGTCTTTCTTTCTTTTTGCCTCCTCTTGAGCCCCTAAAACCAAAAAGCTTGATTTAATCTCACATAATCTATCGAATACGCGGAGTGCTTTATCGTATTTCTTTAATATTAAATATGTCTCTCCCAGATATTTTAGATGAAAACTGTTGACAGTATTAAAATCTTTTACTTCAATAAGTTCATATTCTCCCAAAATAAAATATACCTTTATAACATACTGACTATTGTTAAATAGCTCTTTAAGATTATTAAAAACGGAAACCTGTTTTTTGACAATGAATTATAATCATTCATAATTACAGTGTCATTCCACAATTGCTTAAAATGTAAATTTTCAAGATCCATGTCCGTCAGATAATCATATACAAACGGCTGCTGACCAAAGTTAACCTCTATCGATGCCGATACCCAACACATAAATATAAAGATCCATGCATTTCTGCAATATCGCTGACAGGTGCCAGCCCTGAGTTTACACCATTTTTTGTGTAAAATACTTTATTATTCTTAAAACTTATAAAACAACCAATCACGTCATTTGTTCCAAAAGTTGGACCATAAGAACCTTCATTCCTAAAATTACCATAAAAACGCCCAATAATGGTGTTATCCGGCAATTTATAATCATGGCCCCGATCCGTCCCCCTATAAATACGTAAAAAAAAAAGGAAAGAAAAATCAACTTTCTCTTTCTTAAAAACGAAAAAAAAATTGTTTTAAGGCATTTCTACGTTTAAAATACCTTTTAGTTCCTTGTGTGTTTGCCCAAAATACTTTCACTTGCGTTGGAAGTTTGTTTTCGCTGAAAGTTTGAGGTCGCTAATTCTGAAGTTGACCGTGGGAATTTCACGACTTTTTAAACGTTCAAGGCCTGCTGTTGTAATTTACCACCGGAAACCTATAAACATTCACTGCAAGTTATAAGGAAAAAAAACGTTTAAGTTTTTTTTTTACAATGCCAAAAACCAAGTCTGCTATAGCGAAGGCAAAAAGTCATAATTTTTTTTAGCAAACTAAATATATTGAACCATCAGCAGAAGAACAGTATGAGAGAATGCAAAAGTGCAAGCCACTCACAAGGCTACACTAACATAGATAAATCTATTAGAAGAATTCTGTACTGATGTCAGATATGAAGGCAAGATTGAAGCAGTGAGCTCCAAGATGGTTCTAGAAGACCAGTTATCTAAGTTCATTTATATAATGAAGTGATTTAATGGTGATAAATACTATGCCAACTCAGTAAAAAGTTGTTTGGCAGCTATTTGCTATTACTTTAACCAGCACTCTGTTATGAAGAAACTGGTTGACATATTTAATCCAAAAGTGTATTTTGATTTAAATTAAGTTGTTAATGGTAAATTAAAGAACCTTTCTGTAAAAGAGTTTGGTAAACATGTTAAAGCTGATAGATTGACATTAAGTAAGGTCAAATAAATTCTTAATCACTTTGTGATTCAGTATAATAGTTTGGAAGGATTGTTATGATGAATTTTTTTTTTAATTTCAACTTTGTTAGCATTATGAGGTAGTAAACATCAATCTCTTTAAATCAATAATTTCAATAAGAGGATTAATAGAGGAATTGACATTAAATTGTTTTGATCGAAGACTAATCAATATAGGTTTAAAAATTATAATATACAAGCAGAAATAATTAGCTTGCCTACTATAAAAAACATTATTGATGATTGTGAATTCTACTTTGCTAAATATCCAATAACTACTGTAATCAATTTTTATTTGAAACCTTGTCCTATAAATTTGGGTATATATTTTTTTTTTTGTTATTTTACTTATTTTTATCAAATTTATTAATATTTTTTAAGTTGAATTTAATGAACAATAATATTACAGAGAGAGTGTAGCAACTTAGTGTAGTTGGTAAGTTGTTGCACCCCCAAGTGGCAGGACAAGAGTTCGAATCCCACTGGTGATGAAATTCGAATTTGTAGAAATACATTATGGTAAAACTGTATGACATGTTGATCGGATCAGCACTTGTAACCTTGGTCTCACCAACTCGTATTGGGAGGTTGTGGAATGTAGTATAATGCATAAGTTACACAAAATCTGAGTGAAGCAGCCAAATAAATCTAAGGAATCGGGAGATATGGAAGCCCGCTTGGGAAGTTCCAAGTAAAGAAGTAGCACAGATCTTCAATAGCGCTATGTAAAGGATTATCATCTGGAAACTGGACACCGAAGGCAAACTAAACAAGAACCAAATATTTGGCAAGTACTATACCAACCAGGCTGCCAGATTAACTGGAGGAAAAAGGATTTATTCAGAATACCAGGTGATGCCCACTGGTCTCTCCTGGACCATTTGGATTAGAAGTTTAGGTGCCAACAGTTGGCATTGAAGTACTGTTGATAGTCCGTAAAGTGGATGCTGGGGTTTGGGTGAACTTTGCAAGAGCACAGAGTAGATAATGGTAGTGAAGGTAAAAAGCTGCAAGTATTTGGCCATGGCCTAGGCATAAGTTACCAAAAATCTAGGTGATATATGGGGGAGGTCAATAGAAAAGGGACAAATCGAAAATTTTTTGAAATTTGAGTTTTTATATTCATTATATTGTTTAAAACATTTAGAACATTTTTTACT